TATATATATATATATATATATATGCATATGTATATGCATGCGTACTGCTGAAGAGTCCAAAGTATTAGGACGAAACAGCTGTCCAGTACTCCCTAATGGTTTTCCAATAGTTCTCTCACTGATGTCAGCTCATGGTGAAATCCTCCGACCAATCAAATAATTATTTATGTTCGATTTCCAATTGGCAAATTGGGTTTTTAACAGCGTACCTCAATTCCACTTTGTTCACTGGTATGACTTTCACTAGACTTCACAACTACTCGAAATACTTTCAACCAATGAGTGGGAGTCTAGTTATCCATAGATGACAAGTTTTCTTATTTCACGAAACACCACCCACCGTCATACAACGTTATAGTTGAGTAACAGTACATATCGTCACATCGCAGTTTAGTTTTCAACTATCAACACCGATAATAAATGACAAGTACCTAGACTTAGAAAAAGACATGAGCTTCCTTAAAATGCTTTAGATACTCTATTCCAGGGGGCAGTAAACAGGGAGAATCGTATAGGAATGAGTATTTATACCTGTAACCTAAAGAGCTACAGAAATAATGCTTTACGTACCTGCGAAGCATCGTTTCAACTATCGGTGGAACTGACGGGGATATCAAAGACAGATAGGAAAAGCAAGACAAGTTTTCATTACTCTTAAGTCTGTGTGAAGGTCAACAGCCCCACTCAGCATCAAAAACAAGATCCGGATTTTCAACTCTAATGTGAAGTCGGTGCTACTATATGGACCAGAGACATGGCGCGTCTTAAAGAGCATGTCAAACAAACGTCAGACCTTCATTAACAGTTGTCTTTGCTCAATACTCAAGATCAGATGGCCGGCCAGAAAAGATCAACAACAGGGGTCTCTAGGGGTGAACCAACCAGGAACCGATTGTGAAACGAACAGACAGGAAGAAATGGAGATGTATTGGCTGTCCATACCTTGGGAAGACAATCCATCCATTGACATCACTAGACAAGCCAGCGCTCGAGTGGAACCCTGAAGGGAAGAGAGTTGGTCGTCCAAAGGTGACTTAGATGAGGTCATGTGAGCAGGAGATGAAAGCGTATGGGCAGACTTGGAGCGGGATGAAAAAGTTGTCAGAAAACCGAAGGCAATGGAGACGCGCAGCTGAAGCCCTATGTTCCTCTAGGAATCAAAGGATATAATAATAAAAATAATAATAATAATAATAAAGAGCACAAACAGCATTCACAAGCCGTTGGTTCTCATTGTCCTGAGGACACTACTTAGGCAGTCTATTCCTCCTTACATGGCTGGCTGAAAAGAAACAGTCAATGACTTTATAGATCAAAGCCAAATTTTGATATGACCACAAACTTAATCAGTTTGTCTGCTACCTTTATTCTACGTAGACGTAGTTCACCTAGGACGCTTAACACACGGCATAGTCACTCAAAATGAATGATTTTTCTCTGATTATCTAACATTCTGCGTCGGTGGCATAGCGGTTAGCACGCTCGCCGACTATGCACATGGTCCGGGGTTCGATTCCCGGCCACAGACGCAATCCTTTACCTCGCTAAGCCAGAAATAATCCTGGTAAAGAGGAAAGGTTAGGCATGAGGCTAGCAACCCCACCCTGTAAAATAAACACTGCTACGGAAACTTTAAGCCACTAGCTTGAAGCCCTATTTTCCACTGGGGAGCATGAAGGAAAATAAATATCACACCATTTAACAGTGGGAATCTAACGCAGACGCCTTTGGTCAAAGAAAGCTAGCCTCTTCAATGCTTCTACTAATCTCAATGGTCATGTTTCACAGACTTTAATAAGGATATAGCAGACTGCAGAACAGTACACACCTCCACTGATCGATAGCCAGTGGATGTCACATCTACTCCAAAGACAGCATAAACAATTCATAGTGCACTGTGATGGTAAGCTACCTTAAATGGTGACCACCTGACTGATAGAATTCAGTCTGCACTAAACAAAGAACTAGACACACCAAACCAGTGACCAGTGTCTGATGAAAGTAACCAATACAGTGCGTCGGTGGCATAGCGGTTAGGACGCTCGCCAGCCATTCACATGGTCCGGGGTTTGATCCCGGCCACCGACGCACTCCCTTACCTCGCTAAGCCAGAAATAATCTGGTAAAGAGGAAAGGTTGGGCATGAGGCTAGCAACCTCATCCTGTAAAATAAACACTGCTACATAAACTTCAAGCACTAGCTTGAAGCCCTATGTTCCACAGGGGAACGTGAAGGTAAAATTATTAAAAAATTATTTACAGGTCTACAGGAGGTGAGTCGCGAGCCAGCCCTAATGGCTCAGTGGTAACTTCTCTGACTGAACCATTCACTAGGTGACGCGGGTTCGAATCTCAGAAGGGATATGGGTTCCTTCACACAGGTTGCAGATACTCCTTGCTGACCGGTCGGTGTCAATCAGAACGAAATCTAGGTTAATCAAGGTTTCGTGCAGATTGCCTTCAACCATCAATTACTTTAGTAAAGTCGATGGATTTCAACTAAAATTTACAAGAGAGGATAGTTAAATTCAGGTGTTTAACACTCAGTTAGGCGGCATGAATATAAAAGCAGACTAATATATAATATAATATACAATATAACATAGCACAGATACGCCTTCATCTATCTGAAACCAGTTTGGAAATCTTCCGAACGAGTCGGTTCTTCTATATGGGTCAGAAATTTGCACAACATGTAACGAAAAGAATTTCCAACAGCCTGTTGCACAATTTCATCAACAACCTGGCTGGCTTCATACTGAAGATCAAATGGCCAGCCAGCCAGCCAGAAAGAATAAGTAACAAGTAACTATGGGAACAAACCAACAAGCAAGAGCCGATCGCTGAACAACACATGTAGCAGAAAATGCAGATGAATCCGGCATACAGTGAGGAGGCCACCGAATGCCATAGCACACCAGGCCATTACTCGAGTGAAATCCCGTTGGAAAGTGACGAGTTTGTCTGTCTGTCTGTCTGTTTTCAACATAGAACTTTGCACTGATGTGCGGCAGTTCAAGTCGCCACACTCCCTTCATGTAGCACACGAAACAACAGAAGAAAGTAGAAGAAATCCATATAATAGAGACAGTAAACAGAGGTGTGAGACAAAGGAATAGTAGCAACGAAGAAAAAAAGTTTTATTGGGTATTATAAGTCACAAGGAGTGGATGCATCTGTGCTGGCCATTGAGAACGATTTGGCGCTATATCACCACTTGTCTCCAGCCATCAGTTTTTTACCGTCCCGAGGACCCCAAGCAGTCAGGAAATCTACACCTTCCTACGTGGCTTAAGTTAACCATTGTGTATTTCATTGACTGCTGATACCATGTTTTGGTTTTACCACCACCAGCTCTTTCCCATCCACACCCTATGTCAGCTGACAGTGCCCTTTGTCGAGGAAGGCGATGGCTTGGTGTATGTATAACACATGTCCTAATCATCTCATTCGGTGGACCTTAACAGCCTCGCCGATTGATTTCCCCTCCCACCTACCTAGTGCTCGACGTCTTATCTCAATATTGCCCACCCTATTATATACCATTTCACACAGAAGATACAACTTAGGCACCTATGATCAAAGATAACTAGCCGATCTTTTCATGCCTTCCATTTTCAACAGCCACATCTCCCGTACAGCCATAAAGAAGGACTGGGCGGAGTGTTGAGCAGTACACACACCTTTTAGTCGATAGCTGGATGTCACGTCTACTAAACCGGAGACGGAGTAAACTGGCGTATGCGAAACTAGCCCTATTTATCTTCCATGGTGAGATTTCGTCAGTGGTCAACCCTCCGGGAACTGACTGATGCAGCCTCCCAAATAAGTGAAATGGTCAACACGCTCACCCACCACTTCACTCCCTATTTCTAAGCTAGGCGTCAGTGCAGTCAAGCCCTGTAGACTATCTGTTGAGGATTTCATTGACTGACCAAGCCATGCTTTGGTTTTACCACCACCAGCTCTTTCCCAGCCAGACCCTATGTCAGCTAAAATTGCCCATTTTCGAGGAAGGCGATGACTAGGGATGCATACGTAACACATGTCCTATCCATCTCAGTCGATGTAATTTTACAGCCTTGTCGATTGTTTTCCCCTCCTTAGCCCATAGCACTCGACTGACTGCTAACCTCAATATTGCTCACCTTATTATACCACTTCATACGGGGGATAGAACGCAGGCACTTATGATGAAAGACAGCGAGCTAATCTTTTCATGTCTTCCATTCTCAGAGGCCAGGTATCACAGCCAGCCATAAAGGAGGACGACGTGTGGGTCATCGGTACTGGGGTGACATGGAGAAGATCATGTTAGGAGGAGAAAGAGGAGTAAATGAAAGAGTTTGGTAAATCGTGTGAATAGCCATCTGAGGAGGACAGCAGAAAACTGAACACAGTGAAGATGTATTGCTGAAGCCCCAGTCCTAAGTTCCACTCAGAAAGCAAAGGAATAACAATAATAATAATAATAAACACAGATTTATATATTTCAATAAAAATTTCTTTAATCCTAACTGAAAGCATAGAATATTTATTTGTAGAATAACAATAATAATAGCGATACTAATAATAGTAATAATAATAATAATAATAACAGCAGTAGTAATAGATGTTAGCTAGCCGAAAACATTTAGAAGCATTTATAACAGAAATTCAGAGTAGACAGACACACGGAGGATAACCACACCACGAGAACAACATTTAAACAAGAAAAGGCGCGCGTGTGTGTGTGTATGTGTATATATGCATCAACAAAGTGCAAAGGAATAAAAGGGCATACATAAATAGACAACAAAAAAAACATTGTTATAATTGAGATATATACTACTGAAAAATGATATAGATAGTAGTATTTTTAATAGTAGTAGTAATAGCAATAGTGTAACACTCCTTCTATCTAACTTTAGCGTCTTTAGTTAGTTATTACTAAGCAAGAATTTGATGGTTAGGCATAAAGAAAAAAAAACCAACGGATGCCTGTTGCCTTATCTTCATCTCTATGTAGCAATGGCACGACGAATGATTCTTCGAACGAACTGGAAAAAATAAGAAGTAAGGAGAAAGAAAATTAAATCAGCAATAACAAATGAGAAAGTATAGCTCTCACAAGGGTTCTTTAATTGATGTTGATAAGGGACTCTCTGTAAGATAAAGTTCCCTGGAGTTCTGGTATGAAGTCAGGCCAGATGTGATGACCGACACTTGGCGAATACAAAGAATGATGATTAAGCTATACGTCACACCGTGAGTCAATGAATTTTAACACAGTGGATAAGTGATCAACGGGCTTGCCTGTTAACCTGAAGGTAGCGGGTTATATCCATCATGGTTTCATGAGTGTTCACAGGTAATTAGTTCCAGAACAGAACAAGACAATTTTGAATGCCTTCCTGGTTTCCAATAACTCTCTAACTGATATTCATTCGTGACCAAATTTGAGGTCAGTCAAATCCCTGTAAGTCAACACCTGTAATGCAATCTGGTACAGACTAGTAATTGACTACAGGATAGAGTTTCCGAAGTTCTAGTAAGACGTCATGATCAATTTGGTACACTAAGTCCGGTTTTATGAAAGATGCTCTTGTCACATTAATGTGTACCGGTGGTGCTGCATTACGAATTAGTAGACGACAGAATTCATGGGTGTATCTTTGGTTCAGTGGTTGGTCCGGGCTCACTTCCAAACAGACTCATATCTCTGCCACCAGACTTAACCAGTAGTGAGTCAAATAAAGAAGTTAAGTTGAGTGTGAATCTAGCAACTTCATCGCGTAAAAAAAAACCAGAGCCACATAAACTTCAAGACGGCCAGGATTCATTGCACCACTCCTACCTTAAAGAAAACTGAAGAAAGCTTTCTCATGGACATCTTCCAAAAGAATGGACATATGCCTCCAATCCAACCTATAAAACCAAAGGCCTTCAAGGAAAGCACAAAGAAAGTCGCCCTATCACATATAAAAGACATCTTAGAAATCACTACCAGACTCTTCAAACCTTTAGGAATTGATGTCACACACAAACCAACAAAATCACTTCACTCGGCTGGCTCTGTGTCAACCAAAAGACTCAACAACGAAAGAGGATAAAACCAATATCATCTACAAAATAAATTGTATCAACTGGGAAAAACACTACATTGGCCAAAGTAGACATCCCCTTAGTCTTTGTATCCATGAACATAGACTAGCCGTCAAAAGACACGACATCCACTCCCTCATATCGCTGCATACAGACAACCGTGGACATCAGTCCGACTGGGGCAGCCAATGTTCAAAGACTAGACGGAGGAAACACCAGGAATCCTGGAGAATTTTTACACGCCTGGTATTCCATTGAATCATAAATCAATAGACACATCGAGATAGACAAAATTTACCAATCGATAAGGAGATCTCATGCATGAGAAATCAAACTTCAGGTCAAGGCAACAACCGGTACCAATACAAGTAGCCTAGATGGTGTGGAAACACACCAAAGCAAGCAATCACTTTCAAGGTCACACGAAGAGATGACTAATAAACTCGTTGAGAAATCTAAAAGCTTACTTCAAAATCAAACATGCGCTTTAGGTGTTGCGTAGTAGGGCGATGAAAGCTTCACAAATTAACTATCCAGCTCAGAGAACACAACCACATTAAAAACTTCAAATACCCAAACATGAAGCTCTGTGGTCCACTCGGAACACGAAAGAAAGAAAAAGAGCATCCCTGAGTTAGGGGGAATTCCATCCTAGTGGTCGGATAGTCAGCAAGTCGCATTCATAACTTGAAAATCTTGGGTTCATTCTTCATTTAGTTCGTAGATACATACTACTATAAAATACCAAAGTAAGACTAAACAGCTGGCCAGCACAAGGTGATACAGGTTGCTTCTGTGATGAAATGCCAGATGAAAATATAGTTTGTTAGGGATGTAAAAATTATTACAAATTGTTTCTGAGAAAGACTACCTTCAACCAAATAAAACGTCGTTTGTTGAACAGAAAATAAGTGTTAATGAAGAAATTATCACTGTTATAATTAACAGTCCAATTTGTTTTGAAATGACTAAACCATGGCGCATGCGTCCATTATCAACATTATCGCATATGGTCTACACAAGAAACTTGACAAGAGCGCAGAAGAACTGACGTATATACATGGAAGTGGCTAATAACTGCATGTGCAAAGTTATTGTTGATTGTTATTATCCCCTCGGGTTCCGAGTGGAACATACGGCCTCAGCAGCACATCACCACTTCGTTCTATTCTCTGCTGTCCTATTCGACTGGCCAGCTCCACGGCTGCTAATAATCTTTCATCTACTCCTCCAACTCACACGATCCAGTTGGGTTTCACTCTAGTGATGGTCTGCATCGAGAACGATGTCTTTAGACAACCTCCTCAACGTATGCCCGATCAATCCATCTCCATTTTCCCCTGCATATTTGCTGAGCGATCCGCTCTTGGTTGTTGGTTTATTCCCAGCCAAAGTTTCTTGTTGCTGATTATTTCTGGTCGGCAGGCTGGCCATTTCATCTTCAGTATGGGGTCTGCAAACACAGCTGTTGATGAAAGTCTGTAACTTGTTGGCAGTGCTTTTTGTGACACACAGTGCAAGGTTTTGGACCATATGGAAGAGCTGACTGACTGGCTGACTGACTGACTTTACATTGGTTTTGAAAATTCGAATCTTGTTCTGCATACTGAGGGATAGTGCAGAAGATTTCTAAACTGACTTCAGGTTGATTAAGCTGTATCCTGGATTCCGGATTCTGGCTGGCTGTCTTTAACATTTTCATCCGTGCCATGTGCCTGCCTGTGGTTGAAACGATGCTTCCTAAGTCAGTGAAGTTATCACCATTTTGTTAAATAAAATTATATTTGTAAAATCTCAGCGAGATTGAAATGAGTAATTCCATCGTCTCCTTCGGCAATTTGGTTGGAATTACTCATTTCAATATCGCTGAGATTTTACAAATATAATTTTTTTCTACAAATGTCTACTTCTCACTCTGCGCCCAAATATTTTTGAAACTATTCTGTCAAATCTTGACGATAGACAGTTCATTTGAATTATTTTGCGATCGAGTTAAATTAACAAAGAAACTGTATGTAATTGGCACAATCATCGTGTTTTCACTCTCCGTTGTCTGCAACAGAATACACATCCTAAATCCGTAGCTGTCCAGTCACCTGACAACTCCACTAGGTCGAATAAAGCAGCTCAATCTTCAAAAAAGAAGACAAAGCAATAAGTTCGACTGGGTGCTTCAACTAAACTCTAATCCTAAACACCATAATTTTGAAAATACGTTTAATCGTAAAATTCTAGACATTAACAGTTTGAATCGACATGAAGGTGTGATGTGTGTTAGCTGATGCATAGGAAATCCTGATTAATAAATAAAAATGGCTATGTATCACTAATTAATAATACTTGGTCAAAATTCCCGATTGTCTATATCTTCTTATGGAGACGTTAAGAAATTGTTTTACAACTGTTTTAAAGTGTTTAACTAAGTTAGACCAATATTTGTAAGGCCGAGGTTAAATTTTGATCACAGCTGATACAGTTGACTACCTAAGCAACCTCTCGATGATACAATTTTGTTTAAAATACATGTTGATACCTGTTTTATGACTCATGATTGGACGAAGTTTTTAAAAATCAAGAGATGTTCCTTTTCTGCATATAAACCTCTGTTATGTTAATTTCGATTAATTTCCCTGAAGGAGTTCGGACCAGATTACCGAAAGCAGGAAACGTTGGAATTACTCATTTCAATCTCATTCAGATTTTACAAATATAGTGTCTTTTTACAAATGTCTACTTCTTATTCGGCGGTCAAATATTTTAGAACTATTCTGTCAAATCTTGACGACTGACAGTTCATTTGACTTATCACCATTTCTATTCTAAAATTAGGTTAGTCCATGAATTCCGTTAGTTGATAGTGTGCATATAGCCCCAATTCTAATCAATATCACTGGTAATTATGTGTCCCCACACCCAATCTGATGGACGCCACTGGTTATGATTTATCAGCAGAACCTCTAGTAATATTCATTCATCCAACAGTCAATCAATAGTAAGTATTACATTAATTATCGAGTACTGGTTTGGTGGGATTTATACGATTTCAAGTGAGGTCGTGGATTACGTCATAGGATAACACCCTAAGTTAGCTGCCTTGAATAACATTCGTCTGTATGCAACAATCAGACGACAGCCCATTTATTCATTGTAATCTGCCTCAAAACACCATCACAGTAGACCATAATCGCTAGAAACGTCATTTGTCTTATATACAAATATACAACTAAATATATACAAGACTCACTCGAAGTTTTCCACGCGAAAGATCCTCAGTTACTGTTACAGTAATAGAACTATTAGCTGTTCCATAAGGATTAGTTGCTATACACGTGTACTTTCCAGAATGTTCAGGAATCAGCTGACCTCTTGCAATCCTATAAAAAAACATGAAATAAAAGTTTTTTTAATAAAAGTAAGAAAAAAGTTGAATTTACTCATTTCCTATACAAATTCAAATGAAGAGTTTAAGTGTTGGTTTGTTGGGATTTGATTGGTTGGTTACAGGATTTCGTCATGAGCTGACAATAATTAGAGAAAATCAATGGAAAACCTGGGAATACTAGACAGCTGTTTCGTCACACTAGTTCGGGACTCTTCAGTAGTACGCAACCACCGGGATTCATATTCCTTGGAGATAATTTTTCACACATCTGTCATGAAAATGTTTACTAAGGATGCTAAGAACTAATGATTATGGGTTGCTAGTAAAACAGCTAAAAATCGTTGCCTGTGTCACACGCACATATCCATTCACTCTTTATGAAATTTATTATTATTTCCTTTAATTCCTAGAGGAACATAGGGCTTCAGCCGTGCGTCTCCATTGCCTTCGGTTTTCTGCCAACCTTCTCACCCCGCTCCAAGTCTGCCCATACGCTTTCATCTCCTTTTCACATCACCTCCTCCAAGTCACCCTCGCAATGACGACCAACTCGCCACTTCCCTTTCAGGTTCTACTCGAGCGCTGGCTTGTCTAGTGATGTCACTTGATGGTTTCCTCAGAGAATGGCCAGCCAATCCACCTCCATTTCTTCCCGCCTATTTGTTTCACAGTCGGTCCATGGTTGGTTGGTTTGCTCGCAGAGATTCTTGTTGCTGATCTTTCCTGGTCGGCCATCTGATCTTGAGTACTGTTGAGCGGAGACAACTGTTAATGAAGGTCTGAAGTTTGTTTGAGATGCTCTTCAGGATGCGCCAAATCTTTGATCCCTACAGTAAATAGCAGTGATTTTACATTGGAGTTGAAAATCCAGATCTTATTTTTGATGCTGAGTGGGGCTGTTGACCTCCCCACAGACTTGAGAGTAATGAAAGCTTTATGAACTTTACAATCCACGAAATTTGGATTTTCTTCCTTAATTCCTATACATACCAATTTACATGTATCTGCGGGAGCAGTTACATTGGAAGAACAGAAAGAAGAGCATATCTACGATTTTTTGAACATTTACCAAAAAGGCGACAAATGCTTTAAACAATGCCATTGCTAGGTATCTCCTCGACACAGGTCGATCATGAGGTGGACATCAAAAAGTCGTTCAAAATTATAAATAGACAAAAGAGTTCAATTCTCCTTGAGTGTGCTGAAGTCATCTCCATCAAGTGCCTGAAACCTGATTTATGCATCTAGAAAAAAGCAGTTATCAGTCTTTTTTTCCTGTCTAGTGACTAGATATTTTCACACTCTTTCATCTGAATACGAAATGTCGAAAGTCTTGATTGTGTATGATTATTACTGCTTCGAATAGTGTTAAATTATATATATATATATATTTCTCATTAAAAATGAACTCTGTGCAAGTTGGTTAAAATCGTTTCTGTAGATATACTTAATAATGACTTTGGCCTGTAGGCAGCTGATGGAAGCCAACGAAACAAACAATGATGGTACCATTTTATTCTGCATAAACCATTGTTGTTCTTGCTTTATTCATATCCATTATGGTAACTCTAAACTATAGCAGCCCAAATCGAAACTACCTAGCGAACGGACAAGTGACCTTGAGAAGGACAACAATGACCAATCAGAAGGCTCTATAAAAAACGGCGCATAATTTTAATAAATCATTTATATATAAGTAATCCAATGTTAGAAAATAGTTACAAAGGATAATATTCTCGTATATGTTCCAAAAAACCTCAAAATTTCTCATAAGAGTCTTGATACTTATGTTAAACCAAGTCCTGTACATAAACCTATCGAGATAACTGTAAACCATTGCATTTCTTTTATTCATTCACAGATCTGATCCGTTTATTGAGGTGACTGTGAAAACTTTCGATGGAATTAGTGTGAGTTACAACGAAAGGATTGATGAAACCGTTTGTATGGTTAACGACTTGATGAATATAGCCCAGATTTGATAACTGACTAAATCTACTCCATTCATCTGTATGAATAGTCGTACCAGGCATCACTAAGCGCTGGATAATAGGCAATGAGACATCTGTACTGTGAAATGGGGATCACTTCAATGTATGCTTTGTGGAGGGTGGTGCCCATCAGTAGTACCCATCGATGCACCTAGTGTATCTTTGCACATGCATGACACCTCCACATTGACAATTTTGCCACCTTCCTATCAGTCCGTTCTCCGAACAGTAATCAAAAACAAGATATGGAGAGAATTTGCAACGCAAAAGTTATACAGCATCTATACAGCATGACCTGATTGGTTGTTCAAAATCATTTGTCCGTTCGCTGGGTAGTTTCAGTTTGGGCTGCTATAGTTTAGAGTTACCCATTGTAAATTCCTCACCTCATTCCTGTTGTAAACATTTCCATTCTCCGTAGCGATGTTTATAAACGGAATCATTTATAAAACTCAAATTCGGTGTCACTATGATTCGTTTTGGTATTGAGTGAAATATGGGGTTTCAAAAGTACATCTTCACTTCAATCTCTTCTTTGGAGATTCTACAACTGCTTACAAGCTTTTATCTCCTTCTGTTATCACCTTGAACTCAAGCCCAACTCGACTTTTAACATCCCAGTTATACTCATGGGTTTGGTTGCTGATGTCACTTTCTGATTTTACTTGTATTTATTCCATGCATCACTATTTCTTTATACACATTTGTTAGGTTATAGGTTTTTGACTGGCACAGTCCCTTGTTGCTTAAGCTTTCTTGCCGACCATTTGACCTTCAGTACGGAGCAGAAACTGATGTTGATGATGAGAGCCTGTAGTCCATTAGAAATGGTTTTTATCACACATCAAGTCTCCAAATCACATAGAAGCATTGCCGAATATGACAATGGTGCTGTAGATTCAGATTTTGTTCCTTTTTTGCTAAGTATAGTGCATTTCCGTGAGTCGGTGGTACAGAGGTACAATACTCCCCAACCACGCCTCACGTGGTCCGGGGTTCGATCCCCTGCTGAAGATGTACTCTCTTACCTCGCTAAGCCAGTAATAAAACTGGTGAAGAGGGAAGGTTGGGCTGGAGGCTAGTAACCCAATTTTCACTCACAAGTGTACCCTTGTATCTCATCAGGCAGAACCAGAAGCTTATATAGAAAGCTATATGCTCGCATTAGTAAGTACAAAAACTCACCCATACCCTACCTACTTGGTTCGTGTTCTGTGCGATAAATAAAGCATTAGGCGTGAATTCATACGAACTGTGATCAAGATTTGACCAGATAGTTGCAAAATAATTGAGATTTTTATAAATATAATTTAATTTTTTTTCATACATTTATTCTCTCCATAAGAAGACGTAGACGATCGGGAATTTGACCAAGTGTGACTACTTGTTCATACATATCAAATTTTATTTTATTTATAAGTCAGGATTTGCCATGCATCAGCTAACATCACACCTTTACGTCTGTTTAAACTGTTGCGATTCACCCATATATGTGGGGCTTCTGCAGTCAGTCTTTCTTGATATGAACCAAAAGCTTTCTGTAAAACCTTATTCTTATCAAAGTCGATTTTGTATCCCGTTTCTGTCGAATGCAGTGCAATCGCTGAGTTGTTCTTTAGCTTCTTCAAGTTTGCAGAGCTCTTTGAAAGAGCATAAAAAATGTCTAAAGATGGTTCCAAAGAGCTCTGCAGACTTGAAGAAGCTAGAAAACAACTCAGCGATTGCACTGCATTCGACAGAAATGAGACATAAAATCGACTTTGATAAGACTAAGGTTTTACAGAAAGGTTCGTATAAAAGTAGACAAATTTTGAAAGTCTGAGGTCAAAAATTTTTGTGATCATAGTTCATACAATTTTTGTTTTGTTTTGTTTAGTATACCCATTGATAGCTGTTTCTTGATTCATATTTAAAAATAGACTCATGGTTGGACAAAATTTTAAAAAACAAGAGGTGTCCCTTTAAATATAAACCTCTGTGTTATGTTGATTTCGATTAATTTCCCTGAAGAAGTTCGGACCAGATTGCCGAACACAAAAAACGTTGGAATTAATCATTTCAATTTCGCTGAGATCTTACAAATATAACTTTAATAGGCGTGAAACTTATAACTTATTAAATAGTCAGTAGAATCAACTGGATCTCGTCTTTCCAACTTATATCATTTATAGGTACAACGTTTTCTTTCTTTCTCTTCCTTACAAACCCTACTCAAATCATTCTTCTTCGTTCTTTCACACTCTGTATATCTCGACCTTATTGTTGCCGCTTACGCCAGTGAATATGCTAGTATCTACTTTTCTAACACCTTCAAACACTCTGTTGACTTTCGGCTTTGCTACCGACATGCTAATATGTTGTTGTCAAAACTAACTGAGATTACCCTTAATCTATGTGGAATTTTATTTATTGTTAATGTACAAATTGGATGCGCAATACTGTAGTGAAATGCTTGGAATTCCATTCTGCATCACAAGTACTGTTTTGGAATAAAGCAAATTATTATTATTTTGAAAAAAATAAATAAATACCACTGCTACTGAAACACCAAGCCTCTAGCTTGAAGCTCCCTATGTTCCACAGGGAACGTAAAGGAATAAATCCAAAATTTAAATCAAAACATATCCACACTAATTTCAAATTTAAGTAAGCTAAGACTTGCTTTCCCGATTCTGCCTGCCTTTGACAGACAGCCTAATGTACTATTAACTAATATGAGTCCAGTTTTTTTAAAAAGAGTGCGCGAAACTCAAAGACAGCACTAAGAAACGGCGGAAACAAACTAACAAAGTTCTTCTACGGTTATACGCCAACATAAGGCAAAAATAAGGCAATATTCCAGGTGTATAACGCTTTCATAATACCTGGAGCACATTGGATTAGTTAAGAAACTTACGCAAATATATAAATCCTTCCATAGGCATAAGTATTTCCAATAACTTTTGGTAATCTACGCTCAGTTGGTGGTTTCCCGGCAGGTTCAAACATCCACTCCACTCTTGATTCAGGTGAAGAGGATTCATCGGTACATTGTAATGACATTTCATCATTAGTTGTATAAGTGATTGTTCCACTGCTAAAGATTGCTGGAACAGCTGTTGAACAAAATACAATAAATTAATAAATAATTAAATTATCAGTTATGCTGGGATTCGGATTATTTCAATGTAAATTTATTCATGAGCAAGCACATTTAGGGTATCACTGAAAACCAAGGGGCAATTAACAACTGTTTCGCCCTAATCAAGGACTCTTCAACAGTACGAACCTTCGAGTCTACACGGATTTGTAGGAGTAACAGAATTTTCGGAATGTCCGTGACTGGTGTTGAATCATTCCTTTTACATGCATTCTCAGTTGATTCATCAAATAAAGCTGCAGTTATGGACCCCTTGTCCACATTGTTACGTTAGCTTCTAAAACTGTAATTTTGACACACCCGATTTCTGGGCTGGGTGGGGATAGGGTTTCCACAAACTTTAGGATACTCCCGAAACCTGACTGGACAGTACAGTATCTTAATTATCACAGTTTCTGCGCTGTTCGGTACAAAAGAGCCTTAGTAAGGTAACTCTTCAGTAGAATCCAACAGCTGTGCACTGAAGACACACTTGATGGGGAAGGAAGAAATATTGCACAAACTCTGGTTGATAACAACTATCCATACAAGTCTATTAGGAGGTATAAAGCAATCAGAAATGTTACATTCTCCAACTCGCTTACAAGAAAGACTTGTGCATCAAACTACCCTATATGGGTGATTATAGCAGCTTGACAACTAGACAAAGAGTGAAAGCTGTTGTGGTTAAAAAGACTTTTTATGCAGCTAATATCATAATAATTGAAAATGTGAAGTCCATCCATCTAGTCCCTTTGAACATGCGAAAAAAGATGTCATATCCCACTGAATCGACCAATTGAAATGTACATGTGGACACACATACATAAAGAGGACTCATCGATCTCTGCAAGTAAGGACTGGCTTCAGAGCATATTCCTAAATGGCTTCAGAAGTGAATAGAATCTTCAGAACCCACTAATAGTATGAACAGGAAACCTAACTCCTCTATTGCGAAACATACTATAGAGACAAGACATAAAATTGACGTTTACACATCTTTTAAACCTATCTATAAAACGTGTTTGGTTGAGTACGTATCCTAAAGTTTGTGGCAGCCCTAGGTAGCAATTAGGAAGTTTAAACCACCTTCATGCGATCAAAGCAACAACTCTTCATCACACTAAACCACCTTCCTTGGTAAACTTTCTTTAGATACCAAAGCAGATGTACTATTACCACTAATATTTGGTTTAGTGGTCTTCATTGTTATTTTGACCTTCAATGTGTCCTATTAACTTGAACTAATTTCCTTTTCTCAACCCTTTAGCTCTTCGTTATTTTTATATACGTGAATATTTCTATGATAACTCCATATGCGATCAGATTGTTGTTTGAAATATGTTGCACACAAATACATTACATGATTCAGCCAAATTACGTCCGCTAATTGCTGTCTAAATTCCTAAACGGAACCAGTTGTTTCAAAGAATTTTCCTCGCTTAAAACTTTGTTTTCTTTTCGATAAACTAAACTATTTTGTCTAACAGACTCTGCAGGATCCTTTAACCGACAGAGTTTATTTACAAGTGAGCCTTTAGGTATGAATGCCACATTTATTCCTGTGGTGAGAGCAGGTTGCTAGCCAATTGGTAGGCATTAATTTACATCAATGTCTATGTCGCTAATATTGGCCGTGAGAAAATATGAACAAGACTGATTCAACAACCGATCACAGCAGACTTAACATGGGTAAATACGATTCGCAGATATATGGTCTAATTTTCTGAGTAGCCAGTCATAAACAGTACAGAATAACCTTGAGCAAGAAAAACCAATCAGTAGACTGTGTTTGTCTGCTTGCATAAGCTATAATAATGTGTGTGAAATATATATAAATACGTTCTGATTTCCGTAACAAAACGATTGTTGCCTGGCCCTTGTCTTCTGTTGTTACATTCCTACTATATTCAGAATTTTATGTAAAGTTTCAGGGGTTCTGTCTGAATTCCCCGTTTTTGGTTTTGTATATGTTTATCCTTACAGTGGGGTACAGCGGTTAACTCTCTCGCCGACCATGCATATGGCCCGAGGTTCAATCCCCTGCCGACTCACATCTGATATCTATGGTCAGCCTGCAAAATTTGAGCTACCGATATCACATGCTGAATTTTCCATACTTGTACCAAAAATACAGTGTAGAATCAAGCTATGATCAAAAATCAATATATATATATACTTTTTTAATTAATTTATTGAGGTAATTATTAAGTTTCAAGGCTTCTCTTATGTGTCTAACTTCCTGTCTAAGATTTACTTTGGGACTATTTAACCGTTTTACTTAAACATTCCACCAGTCCTGCTTTTACTGGCTTAGGGTGGGATGGCGTGAAATGAAAATAACAGGTTGAATATGTGGGTTTTCTGTAAAAAACTTGTGTTTAACTTCCCGTCTGGTTTCTTTTTTAATGATACAATCTAACGTTGAAAGCCGTCTCCCCCTCCCCATATCGAGAATGGCCATCTGTATCATATTTGACGATTCTGGTTGTTACGTAGGTGTAAAGCATCTCCATTAACACATACTTGTCTAGCAGAAATGTAAAGAAATGCACGCTTATGTACCTTCACTCCTAAATTTATACAGTTAAATAGTCGTGTGATGGAGTGAGTCACGTCACAAAACTGAAACCACCTAATCAAAAGTGTCAAAGTATTTAGAAATTAGGTTCATAAAATTAGGTTTGAACTGTATAGTAAACACAACATTATTTTATAAAGCGTCTAAACATACCTTGACGCTTTATTATAACATCTTGATGTTCAACAAGTTTGAAATTGTATTCTTTGAGTTGTAAACTAACTTGACAACGGAATCGACCTTCATCAACATATCTTGTTGAATTAGCAAAGAAGAATAATCTATCGCCAGTCAGTACAATTTCTTTCGTTGAAGTGCATTCATCATCTGAACACTACAAAATTTTTAATAACACAAAGCGGGGGGTGGATGGGTATTGTTTTTAAACATAAGCATAAGAATAGTGTCATAAAAAGATAAATAAGTTCCGACTGCTTTAATTCTTGGTCACTCTCACCAGGCCGAATACCTCAAAAGGTAAAGTATGGCGTGAATTCAAATCTCTACAGCCGAATCATTTCTTTTGAGGTTACAAAGGCACCTTGTTGATGTGAATAAACAAGCATAGAACCTAAGTCTAGGAGTTTCTTCCGTCAATCTGTCACAGACTCTTGTTACTTTGGGATTATTGAACAAGGCTTAATTAACTCTTATGCGTCTATCATTCAGGTATTTGTTGAATAATTTGAATGCAACAAATAGCCTAAGAAGGTTCTGTTTCACTGAACATCTAAGTGACTAGAGTGCAATCATCTCTGAAGAAGTAATGACTGGCGAACTTGGCTCAAAATGAGAAACACGCGTCTGAGCAGTCATCTGAATTGTTAGAGCTCATCAGCAGGTAGTATGCTAAAACATCTACAACTACGCTTCTAGATGAGTCATTTGCCTCAGTTTCCCTCAAAGATCAAAAATATTCAGGTCTCTAAAGTGTTCTGCCTGAAACTATAAATGAAAATATGGACTGATCAGTAGTCAGAAACCACACAGTAGACGTAGCGATGTAATTTAAACACTTGTTTTGATGTGGTTGTGTTCTCTGATCTGGATAGTTAGTTTGAGAAGCCTTCGTCGCCCTACTAGGCAGCATCTTCAGCTCATACTTCAATTCGTTGAAGTGAGCTTTCGAATTCCTCCACCAGTTTATTAATCTTCTCTCCTGGTGACCACCTTGGACGTGATTGGTTGTGTGTTTTGTGTGTTTTCACACCTTGTAGGTTACTCTTCGCTGGACATCTTTTCTCTTATATAAAGAAACAGGTGTTATCAAGTGTAGTCGAATTCGATTGGGACAACGTTCAAATATTAGACAAAGGAAATAACAAGAATGCTAGAGAAATTTTTGGAGCTTGGTATTCCAATGAATCATCAATCAATAGACACATCGAGATAGACAAAATTTATCAACCAACAAGAAAGAAACTTCACACACAAAGGGTCAAAGTTCAAGTCAAAGAAACAATCAGTTCCAATACAAGTAGCCTAGAAGGTGTGAAAACACACATAAACAACCAATCACGTCCAAGGTGGTCACCAGGAGAGAAGATTAATAAACTCGTGGAGAAATCTAAAAGCTCACTTCATCGAATTGAAGTATGCGCTGAAGATGTCACCCCGTAGGGCGATGAAAGCTTCACAAATTAACTATCCAGCTCAGAGAACACAACCTCATCAAAATCATCCACCTGAGCTACAAATCTTCTCTATCATATCTAAATTTAAATACTAGACGTCAGTTTCCCTTTTCTGTAGCGGAGTCCATCAAACAAAGGGAAACCCTGATTGAATCAGTTGAAACTACCTGGTTTCTGATTAACTCCTTGATTTGTATGGCCTCCAACTACTGATATCAATTAGTAGTATGTAACAGGTTGAATGATTTACGCACTTCACATAAAGTGATACATAAAATCGCTGATGATTAAACTTCTACAACTCTGTGGGGAATTTTATAAAGAGGAATGTTTCAGTACTTAATAAGATTTTCATTGCAAACTTGTTTTAGACACAGAACTATCCTAAACAAAGTTGAGTGTGAGAACGACTACTACGCACAAAAGTCGACTTGTATCTCACCGGATGAATGGTTATATGAGCACCATAAAACTTCAGGAATACAACCTCAATACTTATACAGTTCGTTGTTGCAGTGAACTAACCTCTGTTGATCCATAGTTTCTACTTCCGTCTTGGAATCCAATGAAATTCATTTCATGCTGAATTTCGAAGAATACTGCCGTCAAGTTATCATGGCAGATTTTTAAGGTAAAATATAAAAGTGGTTCGAACTCTTGGAAGAATTTGTAGCTCAGGTGGATATGTCTACGAATGTCTGTCACCTCACCAAATTTCAAATCCTCCATGTCTTTTTTGAATATAATTCTGAAAGTTTCTTTAACACATGAATTTATGAATCGTATCAGTGATATGCTTTGTTATAGACGAAACCAGCAGTCTAACACCCGCAGGCTTTATCTAGGCTTTGGAATTCAACTGCTTTACAGACCATTCACATGCCTTTTTTATTCACTCGTAAATAATTCAGTGATCCGTCAGGAATGGCCACTATCCCTATTTCTATTCAATTTTATCATAGATGTATTAATGGACTTAACCCTGAGTGACTTCAGCCACTCAGGGATTGATTTGTCACCAGGGAATAATCTCGTTGACTTAGAATATGCAGATGATATAGTCTTCCCTGCCTCCTAGGTGAAGCCGCTGACAAAATTCAGAGTCTTCTGAACACCTTGAGCTGCAATCTGAGAATGTTTGACATGCGATTCACTCCCGCCAAATGTAAGATGATGCTACAGGGCTTGACTGCACTGACGCCTAGCTTAGAAATAGGGAGTGAAGTGGTGGCTGAGCGTGTTGACCATTTCACTTATTTGGGAGGCTGCATCAGTCAGTTCCCGGCGGGTTGACCGCCAACGAAATCTCACCATGGAAGATAAATAGGCTAGTTTCGCATACGCCAGTTTATTCCGTCTCCGGTTTAGTAGACGTGACATCCAGCTATCGACTAAAAGGTGTGTGTACTGCTCAACACTCCGCCCAGTCCTTTTTGTGGCTGTACGGGAGACGTGGCTGTTGAAAATGGAAGGGATGAAAAGACCGGCTAGTTATCTTTGATCATAGGTGCCTGAGTTGTATCTTCTGTGTGAAATGGTATATAATAGGGTGGGCAATATTGAGATAAGGCGTCGAGTACTAGGTAGGTGGGAGGGGAAATCAATCGGCGAGGCTGTTAAGGTACACCGAATGAGATGATTAGGACATGTGTTATACATACACCAAGCCATCGCCTTCCTCGACAAATGGCACTGTCAGCTGACATAGGGTGAGATTGGAAAAGAGCCAGTGGTGGTCAAACAAAACATGGTATCAGCAGTCAATGAAATACACAATGGTTAACTTAAGCCACGTAGGAAGGTGTAGATTTCCTGACTGCTTGGGGTCCTCGGGAGGTAAAAAACAGATGACTGAAGACAAGTGGTGATATGGCGCAAAATCGTTCTCAGTGACTGGCGGATGTATCCACTCCTTGTGACTTATAATACCCAATAAAACTTTAGTGTTCTTCGATATTACTATTCTTTTTGACTCATATCCCTTTTTACTGTCTCTAGTTTGCATTTTTTTTACTTTCTTGCTTTGTGTGCTACAAAGAGGGAGTGTGGCGACTCGAACTGCTGCGTATCTAGCTAAAGTTTTATGTTGAAACCAGTCAGTCAGTCATCACATAGACATGAAGCAATTGTTTAAACACTCAACGTTTCAGTCAGTGAGTGTTGGATTCGAATCCCGATTTCACGTTTTTCTCATGAGCATGTATGTGGTAGCATCAGCCTTTATGCAACAAGTATGGCTCATGACCTGGTACACCAATGCCTTGATTTGTGTAACTAATCGCTAGCTAACAATCGTAGAACTTAACACAAGTCTAACTACGCAGTCCCATTATATCTTAGTACACTCCAAGATGACCTGAGTAACACAGTCTCACTGGAAAAGGAATAAAACTCGTCTAAATGAAGTCAGACAACTTTAAAATCAATGCTAATTTATGTCAGCCTCCACTTACCTTTAACCATGTAGCTACAGCTTCACCTGAAGTCACTTCTGGTTTACATCCAATTTCATAATCTTGTGTAGCATCATATGAATCTTTCGGTAGATCAACTGGTTCTAAGACTGCTTCATCCGGTTTCACACGATCTATGCGTATTGATTTAATTGTAGGCTGATCTACAACAGAATAAGGATACAGTCAAAGGTAAGTTTAATATAATAAGACAGCGATAAATAAGAGTGCAGAACTCACTATTCGCTAACTCAAGAAACTGGATGCATGATGAGAGAGGAATCATTATTCATGGCTGGTAGATTAATAAAAGAAACAACCTTAATTTATGTCACTAGCCAGAAAGATGACGACTACCATTCTCTATTGTCGCATGTCAGTGTTTATAATACCAACAGAGAGGAAGTTAGTTCCATGAAGAGAAAATCCAGGACAATAAAGTGCGGAACTCTAATCATCGGATATGAAATTACCGTGAAAAAACGGAGAGTATCGTAAGTAAGGAAAAGCGAGTATGACTGATAAACTGTACGGGATAATGAAGTCTATTGCTGCATAGTTATAACAGAAGATCTAAATAATGTCATGACGCAATAACTGGAGAGATCTTCATTAATGAAATGGAAAGGCGTGACAGTATTATCAAACTTGGAAAATTGAAGAAGGTTAAGACCCTTCAGTCACATACAAACCCGACCGTTGATTTTTAATTAAGCGCATCTATAAAACTTTTCATTCCAGTAACTGACATAACCTCAACATTTCAAACGCTAATAAATACATACATATCTGTCATCCCGTATTAAAATGGAGTCTTCAATATTAAACTAATACTCAGTATAACACTTCAGAGTGTTTCCATTTTTGGTTTGGAATCACAGAGTATAACTCAGTAACCGTTAATTCCTTATTTATCCGCTGTTTGGCTCAAATGACCACTTTATGTTCGCATTTCATACAAAAATCTATTTAGTGAGTGGCATGAATTGAATGTTATCGCGGTGTATTTCAAAAAATCTCCATTTCCTTCTGCACACCTTGTTAGGCAGTAGATTGTTGGCTAGTTCGCTGACACAGTTCCTCGCTGCCTATCCTTTACGGCTGACAATCCGTTCTTCAGCATCGAGTGCAGGCGTCCGTTTAAAAATAATCTTCCTGAGATGTACTCAACATTTCTCTTACTTTCTTGATTGAGACTAATTCTGAAAAAGTCATCCGGGTTACTTGAAGTTGAGTTGATGCTGTCCAAGCTAGTGAGACAGTCGACTTTCTTTAGATTCATGCCACTCATAGTAATTAATGTTTGTTGTTGTTCAGCTGGGTAACTTCGAAGACAACGAGATCTTCACTATGTTCAGCTGGAATCCTGTTTTCGCTGGCAGAAGAGGTTGTAAGCTCATCTGCGGTATCCTCGGTCTGACATGGTTAGTATTCAGCTACTTATACCACTGACTAGTATATGCTATTGTGCAATTTAATACAGGTTGCACCTAATGTAAAATAAGTAACCATGCATGTGCAAACGTGCGTCAGCGGTTCAATGATCGTCAAACACACCCTTGGTCTGGGTTCGATTCCAGGCCAATGCACTGCTAAACCTCACTTAGCCAAAAGTAAATCCTGCAAAGACAGAAGGTTAAGTGTATAGCTAGCAACTCAACCCAGTGAAAAGACATCACTGTTACTGGGAACTTAAAAGATCCAGCTTGAAGCTCTACACTCCACTCGGAATGCAAAAGAGTGATAAAAAGAGAAAAATTTAAATATACGCAAAAACAAATAATTTCTTCAAAACGACTTACTTCTAACATTTATAATGAATGGATGAGAAGATGTATTGTAGGTGTTGTTATAGGATGCCACACATCTTACTTCATAAACAGCTTCATCTGATGTAGATGTACTCGGTAGCCGAAGATCATTCAAATATAGTTGATTTGATCTCCAACCGGATATGTCTACAGCACCTTGTCTTGGATCTGTTTCACGTATCCATATACCTGTACCATCGCCTAAATTCATTTCCCATTGATAACCTGACGGTTCTACACGTTCACCGGTAGTAAGATCTAAAAATGTTTAGATAAAAGAAAAGAAATCCTTGAGGTCTTTTGTTTGCCAACAGAATCTTCAATTACTTTCTGCCGATTTCAATCTACTGCTCCTCCCTATCTGTCTTAGAACGCACATGCTGGAGTCATTAGTATAGGGTGCCAAATACGTCCGCTGCACGTTTTCCGACTTCACTTCTGCTTTAGACTCTCTACCTAGATGTCTCTTGCTAAATGAGCTCTTGATGGCACAAACTGAGTCCTAAGTCACTAACTGGTAGCATTCCTACTTCTCTAACAGAATGCAATACACTGTATACAAAGGTGAATCCTCCTTCGCTGTGCTCACTGAAGCTGGTGTCCCCCAAGGTGCTGTACTATACCTCCTCCTCTTTTCATTCTTTCTACATGACTTACCACCTTCAAATGCATTAATTTTGTCAAACATGCTGACGATCTGACTGTATCTTTGCCTGTCAAATGTCAAAGTGACTGCTCCAAACTAAATGACTTTTTATCAGAAATCAGCCAGTGGTCCAAGGAAAACGGTCTAAACTTAAACCCCTCTAAATGTCAAACAGTCAATCAATTTCAGCTTTGGGCGTAAATCTCACCCGGTTAGCACTTACGAGATGTGCAACATAGATGGCACTGAAACAAAAAGTAAGTCGGAAATTAAATACCTAGGCGTCATTCTATCTGCTAATCTTTCCTGGTCGTCTCATATCTTGATCATTTCTAGGAAAATATTCCGTCTTACCTTCGACATTAAAAGTTAAGATATTCTGGAATAACCCAAACCAACCCTTACTCTTACGATTCGTTAACTCTTGCATTCTGCCTATTATTCTCTATTGTTCCCCCTTAGTTCTTCCAGGGTTACTGAAGGAAGACTATACCTTATTACGCAGGATGTTAAAGGTTTGTCAGCAGGGAAAGCAACGTGCCACTTAACCAGCTTGTTAATATTCTGGTCGACAAACATTTAGACTCATGTGAAAAATGGGCTAAATCCATTCTATCTAACTCACACCACCACCTTCATTCATAACTCTCTCCTTGTATCTCATCAGGCAAAACCAGAAGCCCATATTGAAAACTATATGCTCGCACTAGCATGTATAAAAACTCAACCATATCCCACTTGGCTTGTTCGTGTTCTGTGCGATAAAGAAAGCATTAGGCGTGAAACTTATAACTTATTAAATAGTCAGTAGAATCAACTGGATCTCGTCTATCTAACCTATATAATTTATAGGTACAACGTTTTATTTCTTTTCCTTTTTTCTCTCTCTTTTCTTTAGTTATGTGCTGTTTTGTTTCTCTCTTCCTTACAAACTCTACTCAAATCATTCTTCTTCGTTCTTTCACACTCTGTATATCTCGACCTTATTGTTGCCGCTTACGCCAGTGAATATGCTAGTATCTACTTTTCTAACACCTTCAAACACTCTGTTGACTTTCGGCTTTGCTACCGACATGCTAATATGTTGTTGTCAAAACTAGCTGAGATTACCCATAATCTATGTAGAATTTCATTTATTGTTAATGTACAAATTGGATGCGCAATACTGTATTGAAATGCTTGGAATTCCATTCTGTATCACAAGTACTGTTTTGGAATGAAGCAAATTATTATTATTAAATGAGTTATAACTTCTGCGGTCCACTAAGTCTCGTATTCAATAATGGTACTGCATAGAAGTCAAGATATATTGCTTGTCAATCGAAATCAAAATTCATGAGTTATAGGATTTCAAGTGAGTCGCGTAGTCTGAAAGTAAGTGGATCTAGTTCCTTGTGAATGTGCGCGCGGGTTCGTGCTGCTGAAGTGTTCTATACTTGAAAAAAGCAGTTGTCAATTGCTCTTTATTCATCTGTGATCCTCCCTCCGACTACCCTAGGTTTCACGAATAATCCCAGCAGTCCAAGTCCTTTGAAAGTGACCGGTGAAGGACCATAAGAGCTTCGTAGTTAAACATGCCCCATGAGAGAATACACCAATTCCAAAAACTCCTACGGAGCTACAGATCACCTCTATTATTTCTATAAAAAAACTATTTTTGTGTTAATAGATTTAAATCATCTGGCGGTAATTTCAAACACTACTGTATTACTGCTCTGGATAGTCAGACAGCGTTAATCCACACTCTAAGGAATTCACAACTGTCAAATCTGTTTAGCACGACAGTCACTTTTCCGAGTGTAAAGCTTCTCCTAAATCCTAAATTGCCTTCCTCAAATGACAGCGATATTAATTTCCAACCTTGTGTACCTAGTTCGAAGATTAAAATCTCCCCAGCAAATGGAACTTTAAGCACCACTAACTACCAGTCAGTCGAACGAACCAATCACGTAAAGGAGGTATTTTTGTGTATGGACTACACATATATTTATGAAAAAGATGCATAAAACTGTGGAAAAATGTTACAGAGGATACCTTCCTCTCAAATGTGATAATAATAGCTATCAGTTTTAGGTTGGAGTATCAACAGAGTATATTTCCATTGTGGGTAAAATTTATTTTGATAAAGTCGCATAGCGTAATACAGTAATATTTCCTGAGCAATAAATTGTCCTCAAAACGCGTCATCAGTAAATATGACTGTATAACACCGAAACTTCATCAAAATAGATGTTACCCCCAATGGAATTATACTCTACCGCAGTGCACAAGTTCTATTCTTATATCAAAAGTAATTTAACCACATTCTATGCGTGTAATTATTTAGGTCTTCTAACCCTAACAACTACCCTAATCTTTCCTGAACCATACTCGAACGTGAAAATATCCCTAAACTAACTGTAATCGAATTCGAACCAACTCTAATGTCGCTTTTATTAGGTTAACCTAACCCTAACTTGTCCTTGGCACAAAGAATAACTTAATCTTTCGCAAACCTACGCTGTAACTTGCCAGATATCGCATTTAATAGGATAACACTTCGATGAGCATATTTGATTGATGATGACAATATTGTTTGCCAGGTTTAACTAACTTGCTCAGTGCGCGAGTCAAGGTCATTGGTGCGATCACACTCCAGTGGAATTTAGTGGTGCTTAAAGTTTAACTTGGGCATCTCTTCATCATAAAGGAGATCCATGATCCAAGGAGTTGATTTTTAAGTGGTTGGTATTTTAACAGGAAAATTCAATCAGTTTTACTAACATTTCATAAGTAAGTGTAGTATTCTCTTTATTGTCATAAATATTGCCGATTTGAGATATTCTTGGATTGATCATTTTGATCCTAGCTTTCTTCACGTCCCAGAGAAAAGATTGACTTTTTTCATCACCGCTTGATTCCACACAGTATTTTTGGTACAGGTATGGAATTTTCAGCATGTGATATCGGTAGGCCAAATTTTGCAGGCCGACCATAGATATCAGGTGTGCGTCGGCCGAGGTTCGAATCCGGACCATGCGCATGGTTGGCGAGAGTTCTAACCACTGTGCCACCGATGCACTCATATCGCCTTCAGTGTGTAGTGTTTGTCAGTGATCCTATCATAAATTGTTGATTCTAAGTGGATTGATCCTTACATAATAGTTAGCATAGCCAGATTATGTCTACATACCTGTTCGTATATTTTAGTCGGTAGGGCGTCTCGGTTGAAGTTGCACTTGTCCGTAAGAAGTCCTAGTCATTTATATAAGAATAGAACTTGTGCACTTTCGTAGAGTATAATTCCATTGTGGGTAACATTTATTTTGATAAAGTCTCACAGTGTTTGTTATACAGTAATACTTACTGATGACCACACGTTTCGAGCACAATTTATTATTACTGCTCATAATCATATCAAGGCGCTACTCACACACAACTTTCTAACTTCGTTTATATAATTCCATGACTAATTTTCATCGCTTGACTTGATTGTTAGTAGTATTTTCCATATTTGTGGTATGAGCAATGAGTCATTCTTATTACACGTGTTGAATGTAGACTCGATGAACCAGCCAGGATTCAGTAATCAATCAACCTCTTCCTGTCTCCACCTTCCTAGATTACTTCTTAGAATTTTAACCCTATCCCATGAATTCTTAGTGCATTCAGTGTAATTGCTGAGTTTGTTGTCTAAATTAATTGTCTTTATGGGGTCAATCATTCTAGCCTTAGGCTGCGGGTAGTCAGATTATCAGAACATAAGAATTTAGCTAAGGTTAGAATGACTGATCACACGATGATAAGTAATTTAGTAAAAAAAAAGCACTCAACAATTGCATTGCATGCATTAACGCACAATCACGCAATAGGGTGGTGGGAGAGGGTTAAAGATCTAAGAATTAATATAGGTAGGTGGAGATAGAAAGAGGTTGATTACTGTATCCTTGATCATCGAATCTACATCCCACACGTGCAATAAGAATGACTCATTGCTCATACCACAAATATGGAAAATGCGCCTACCAATCAAGTCAAGCGATGAAAATTAGTCATGGAATTATATAAACGATGTTAGAAAGTTGTTTGAATAGCGCCTTGATATGATTATGAGCAGTAGTAATAAATTGTGCTCGAAACGTGTGGTCATCAGTAAATATTACTGTATATTAACAAACACTGTGAGTCTTTAGCAAAATAAATTTTACTCAAAATTGAATCCTAATCATTTATTTCCATGTGGTATTAACCGATTTTCTGTAGGAAATTCAACAGCGGAGTAGCTTTTGAAAACACTTACACAGATTGCACTATTGTACACATGAGATAATGAATGCTTGGAATGTAGGTAAGCTGCTCGACACTGAGTCGTATCTTTTGTTTCATCACTGTTACTCAATTTGATGAGTAAACTTAAGAAACCCAGTGCTGGTAAACACAATGATCCCTCAAAAAAATGGCTAAGCAATTTCATAATACCAAAAAATCCAACCTCTTAGAAAACGACGTCAGATAGCTGTTTCAGTGGCTTTGTCCAACATAATTATGGACTGCGATCAATAGCAAATCCCGAAAAAGTTAACCTGTTGGAAATGTCTGTTGTAGTTTGTAGTAAGGTGAGTCAATTAAATTC